AAACGAACATTTTTAGATACATTAATTCTAACTTTACATGCAGACGTTGAGCCGGAGTTTAAAATATATTTCAATAGTAAATACTCATATGGAAAGGCCATAGATTTAGTAATAACAAGCACAGGAAAAAGAATTGCAATTGAGTTCGACAATATTAAAATGGAGTGTATAAAACTCGATGGTGTTCATAATAGCTGGCAAGAGGCTACCCGCATCTCACTATCATTAATGAAAAAATCTGAGAAGGAAATTTTAAACCTTCAAATTAATGATCAATATCGGCCAAATCAAAAAACAGTTTGTGAAGCTTTGGAATCTAAAATAGTTAAAAAATGCAAAGAGTATTTACAACCTTTAATTCAACGAAATGATGCAGATTTAAAATTCATGTTTGTTATTATGAGGGTGGGATTGCATCGTCTAATTAGCAGAAGAGTGTATTGTGCTAATATTAACTATTGAAAAAGTTTTATCCTGCTAATTTTAAATACAATAATTCAAGTTCTTTATTTTTTTTGCCCTAAGCTTTCTTTCGATATAAATGCCCCCTAAAATATACATTACATCAAAATCTATATGTTTAGCAGCTAATTCTAAATAATGTAGAATTTTATCACAATTTTTCTTTTTTGTATCTTCATCATCACACTAAGATTAGAAAGTAATAAAGTCGCATATTGATATTGTGCATCAAGATTAGGTTGTGGGCACAGGGGCACAGACATGCCCTTTAGGCAGCGTTGTGTCTGGGACAGTTGGGACATGTGTTAGGACATTTTGGGACATTTTTAAACAATTTTATAAATTAAAACTACTCAAAATTTTATTAAAATAATCTACTTTAATTTTTTTAAAAATATATTCACTTAAAAAAATATATAATTATATATTTTTTAAAGGCAATTTCTATTTGTACACGGGGTGTATGTACACGGACAATATAGATATCTCAAAATGTTGATTATGAAACCACCTTTTGGCTTCTAACAAAAAAAAATTCCTTGCGAAATTTTGGTATAAGCTATACTTTGTCCGATCCCAAACCCACCCTTATCCTAACCATAA